GATTCAATTTGGCTGTTATTCTGGTTCCAGAGGTCTTTGTTTCTTTGCAGAGGTCAACGCATCGATTTAAACATCTTGGGTTCAGGAGTTTTGTACCTATTTCACAAAACGTCGGGCGAAAAAAAATGAAATGGTTTTTAAGTCGATTGTCCACTTTTCCACTACATTACTAATATAGACACTCATCTAAATATTTTTAAACGTTTAACACTTGTGAATTGGTTGAAATTTTCTTTTTTTGATTATTTTCGCCACATAAAATCCTCGGACGTGCTACAGTGCGACCCATGTATACGAAAGAATATGTTTGCTCAAAATTGTGTTCTCTGTTTTCATTGTTGTTTAAAAACCGGCGAACGTCTAGATATGAAGTGTAGGTTAGTCAATACTGAATTTTGCAATAATTGGCGTAAACCACATAAAGGTGTTGACACTATTTAAGGAATTTTCACCTAAAATGGCATCATGCAATAGTTGCCTCATTGTAATGCAACCATCTGTTTCACCAAACATTTGTACCTTCAGCAAGAACTTGAAGTAAATTTGACTGACATTCACGTGAAAATTACTACAGACTTGACCTTTTGAAACCAGGCTTTTATGTTTGAAAGACCAGAGATGTTGATTGTGAGTCATCATTTTATTCTTAATAGGAAAAAATAATAAAATTTGCCCGAAGAAATCACCGTGTTTACACAGAGCTGTTCAGACCATACGGTTGACCAATCACAGCGCTTGTTTTGTCGCTAAAACTTTCAGCTTATGGCTACTAACCGGATATGAATGAACTGCGTGGCTTTACTGGTGAAACTGCCTTTTTTATTCGGAAAATTTCACAGAGACATTGCATTTTATCGCCGGTGTTATTTAAATTGTTGTTGTGTTTTTGAGGACGTGGTCAGTAGTTATCGTGCACCTCCTATGAGGTTAACCCACTGTTTTCATTTTGTGACTTGCAATAAGCGCAAAGTTTTGATATTATCCCGGCGTTACAGCTGGTGTTGTTTTTCGCTTTTCTCCCGTCGTTAATCAGCGTTTCTCTTTGTAATTCTGTTGGCCATGCTGGTAATATGGTTCCCTGGCATGTGGTTCCAACGCGAAACTTCTCGAAGGTGAGACCCTGTGATTGCAAATTTCTGTATTGCAGTTTTAGATAGGTGATATTCGCAAAGAAGCTTTGTACATGAGCACTTGACTCAGAAGCCAGTTTGCACTGAATAACGTGGGAAGCGAGGTACGATTTCAATTTTCCCAGCGCATTTAGATGACGTGTTTTTGCCGAAGAACAATCATTCGGACTACTCAGAACAAAATTGAATTTCAAAACTGTCAACTTCCAAAATTTGTCGCGTTAATTTTATCAGTAACAACTTTCATTTTCAATACCGTCTGATTTCATCGAACCAGAATTGAAAAGATTAATTTACTACATTTTTGTCATGGAAGGAAACTCAAGTCCCTTTCGAAGCAAAGTCCTCTTTTCTATCATTTCAAATACATAAAATATTGTTAAAGAATATTGTATGTCATTCGCCGGTCGCCTCACCCAGCCGTCGTTTTGTTTACACTCAATCGAACCTTGTACTATCGTGTTTTTAATTTCGGTTACTAATTGGTTTCTTAAGTGTGGGCTCCATATTTTGTCTCTGCTGTCAATTATTTCGATTATTCGCGTCCAAGAATAGTTCGGCATCTGCCAAAAGCTTGCGGATTTGATTTTTGTTGTTATTATTTTCCTCGTCCTTTGAAAAACGTCCGACACAACGCGGTGAAATATCTCGACCTTTTATTTCCAGTGTATTGCCCGAGAATTTATACAAGTGATGAATTATTCGTCTAGACTAATTAGCCGTCCTACAAATGAAAGGACCAATTTTTTTTATTGGCTGTTTTGAAATAACAAGCGAAAACAAAGACAAAGTACCTGTGCAGATTTTGGATGAACAATCGTTCTGTATCAGTGGCAATTAGAAGAAAAGTGCGAGAAAATGTGGTCCATATTCCCAGGCAATTTGACCGGTCGAATCTCTCAATGGTCTTCGAAAAATTCCACACAGGAATCAGTGTTTTCAACTCAGTCACATTGTCAACTTATAAATTCTCCTACTGATTCGCGTACATTCTGTAATTTATTGTTATGAGAATTCGCTAGTACATCAGGACAAAACCGGTGTTTGATGATTTTTTTTATTCTCCTCAAGTGTCTGCTTGACAAAGCTTTGATCAATGTAACGAGAATTAAGA